TAGTAAACAAAATATAATAACAATAGATCTGGAAGTAAAAATTATAAGGTTCAATACTTACCGTAACACGGAAGAGCAAGAAAAATCTATTACTACACAGTTTAAAAAAATTCTTATTTAACGGAACTGTCAAAAGCTAACTTTCTGTAGAAGATTACTGAATTACAAAAAGAATTTAAGCAAAGTACATGATGCTTTTACTACAGGAAAATTGGACGATTCATTAGTGTTTTGTATAAGGAAGGTCCAAAATGAAGAGTTCAAAGATGACTTTCAAAGATTAAGACAAAAATACGAGTGTAATACGATTCCTCAACCCATTTGTAGACGAGAAAAATATACTCAGGATTGGCGGTCGACTTATACATACTAATTTATCCCTTCAACCTCTAAGCGGTCAAATTTGGCCGCAGCGCTATTTGTACTTCTCTATTGATACTTCTTTATTTTATACTAAAACCACAATTACTGATAAATGACGAATTAAGTAATATTATATCTAAAATAATAAATCAGTGGTGGCAAAACTAAATGTATAAAACTCATAACTTCAACTGTCAAACATCAAAATACTAATGGAATTTTAAATGAGAAGGTGTGGGGTTTTGTTGAAACTACCATTTTTCTTGGAATCACACTAGATGCGAAACTTTAAGGAGGCTCCCCAAATCTAAATTAGCAAGCAAAGTCGCATTACACTGATTTTGTTTATTTTTTTTATTGAATTATGTCATTATGCCGAAGAAGGCAATAAAATCACAAGTCTTTAAGATAAAAATTTAGGACATATATGTGTATATACAATATGTAACAAAGGCGCTGTTGTTCCCGTTAAGTGCGTTATCAGAATCAGTATTCAAACGTACAGAAACTTTAATTCAGAAAACTCGACATAAAAATAATCAAATTAAATTTTAATTAAATAATATTTGTAAATTTTATGTGGATTAATTACATCTGCCTATAATTATCGACAACGGCGGGCGGCGGCCAGCGGTGACGTACATCAAAGACGGGGTGCGCGCGCGCGCATCTTACCTACACTAACTGCACACTGAGGTCGTGACCTCGTCACATCCCAGATTTTATAGTCAAACACTAGTTTATCACTATGTCTACTTGACGACCACGAAGATAATGTCAGAATATGTATATGACCACGAAGATAATGTAAAGAATATGTCCACCTTGTACCTCTATACATTTGCGACACCGGCTTATAATATCTGAACGTACGCGTTGCATAACAAACATTTCGCTTTTTATTTTTTTAAAAGCTGCGACTATACGCATACGCATTTCTGCTTTGGTATCGTATGTTTTTTGGAATACAGTCTGCTTAATCGTACCTCAGAGATAAAAATCTAAAGGGTGTGAGATCAGGTGATCGCGACGGCCAGTTGACCGGTCCACCGCGGCAAATCCATCTTTCACCGAATTCAGTATCCAAAAAACTTCTAACATAACGGAAGAAATGCGGTGGTGCGCCATCGTGTTGAAACCAAATGCGATGAACGAGGTTTAAATTTCGCAGTTTCAAATTTTCTAAAAATCGCTTCTTCGTAGGCAGCCACGTCTTCTTAGGCGCTTGAAAAAACTTGCCTTTTATTTTTTCTTTGACTATTGGGAACAAAAAGAAATCACAAGGAGCGAAGTCAGGGCTATAGGGTGGGTGACTTGAGTTTCAATACCAGATTCCTCAATAAATGAAAACAACTTCTTCGTCATTTTTAATATCCTATTTGTGGTAGAGCCATACTTTATCTATATTATCGTCGTAGCACGAATAGGCTGGCTCCACAACCATACTCAAGGACCATACTCTCACAAAATGTCAGCATAATGCAGCTGTGTTTCGTATGATGAGTGTAGAGAACCAGAAAGACATGTACACTCACAGAGCAACCCATTCAGGTTGGTCGTAATGCTGCTTCCTATAATCAATATTACATAAAATTTGGTGTCGGCACAACTTTTTCGTGATCAATCCGTTAACGAGGGCTTGTTTTGTATACTTGCATAATATTTCGAGTTCTTTCACTCTACAATCGACTCTCGACTTTATTCTTTGTTCTGTTTTAATCCTGAAAGAGAAATGTTAAGATAGCCAGTTGTGTATAGCTAATTTGTGCATAGTATAACCCTAAGTTGCTTCCTGCCATATGTAGGCTTAGATCTTTTAAATTACTCAAGGGATTTTGATGCAGTCTACATAAATAGACAGAATGATTCAGGAAGAGGAAGGTTTATATGTATAATAAATACATATGTGTCGAGATCCAAAAATTATCCGGGCGAAGTCCAATATAATTTACAACTATCTATAAAAATCAGTCTTTATCTTTGAATATCAAAGGTCGATGACCTCTGTAAAGTTAATAAAACGTAAAGAAGCAGAATAAACAATACAAAAAATAATTGATTCAAGCAAGACGTAACCACATCTTAAGTCGTCGAATTGTATGCTATTTCTCTTCTAGATATTTGTTAATCGCATATGTTCTAATATTATCGCATTGAAACGTAGGAATATTTGAATGAACTGGATTGCCAAATAACGTTCTTCATTTCTCTTATTGGGTATATGAGTGTGCGCCTGCGATCGCAGGATCATTTATTTCAGAAAAGCTATAGTAAACTCTACTCCAAGAAGCGATAACAGGCAATTAGCCTACGGAACTTGCAATTATTAAGGACTTAACCGAAGAATCTTTGTGATTTTGTACGACGTGATTTTGTAGACGTTGTACACTTGCTGCGTGTGCATCCTAATCACCATTTTTACTCACCTTACACGAAAAATGAATATTATCCTATTTAAAGGTACTGTACATTACTTTACTATTATATAATTAAGAACCAACTTTACATCTAATGATAATTAATTATTAAGGTGAGATATCCTAAGTATGATTTTTGAACCTTTTTGCGCTCTCTTCTCCGATGCATGCATATTCGTTCAACGCAAATTAAGCGTGCTTGTGGTAGAGAAACAGTTACATATTATATATATATATATATATAATTCCTTTCATATTATCTAAAATATTTATATGGTTATCACATAAAAAAACGAGATCTAAAATGTATAAAATGTAAAATGTAAATGTATAAAATACTTGCAAAAATGGAGGTAGCAATATTTTTAGCTATATCACGGCAGCAGTTTATGCTTCAAAAGTTATAAAAATATGAAATTTAAATAACTAATTTTTGTGCGGCACTGCACTAAACAAGTATGGCCTACAAGTTATTCCAGGTCTGAATGTTTGTCCATGTAGATGTCATATGTAAAACGTTTTCATGGTACAGTAGAAATTACTAGCGTTTAGTGCCGTTTATGTCGAACAAAAATGAAACCCGTTTCATTTACATTTAAAGCGTAAATACAATTTTTACCAAAAAAAAGATTAAAAATATAGCGCCACATAAATGAAAACACCTCTCTGACATTTTTACGCGGTACGCCTGCAATCAGTTCCAACCCGGTTGCTCTGCGCTTTTTATTTTGTAATTTTCATGGACTTACTAATTGCATGGTTGAAGATAGTAAAAAAATAGAGTTTATTTTTAATTTGTGTGCATATTTAGCTTTAACAGACAATTGGGATACTCATGTTATTAATGATCACTGTGCTTGAATCAAAATTTATTTTTAAGGGAAATTATCTGCATTTTTTAATAGACATCACCTTTAAAAAAAAACAATAGTTTTTATAAAGGAACAGGTCAAGTTTATTTTAAAAGTTACCCAATTGTTAATTGTCTAAGCAATTACTCCTACTCGACGACTACCAACACTTACTTACGGAATGTGTTAAAAACACAGAATACTATATTTACCAGGTAAGGTACAGGACCAAAAATCACAGTAAAATAGAGTAATTAACGCTTAAGTATTACATAAACAAATATGACATGGGTGTTTTGAATTTTAACATAACCATTATCTGATGCTATATATAACCCCTAACTTATTGTACGTCCACTACGTCCAATTTTGCATATAATATGGCGTCAACCTGCTTACGACGTCCAATATACGCACGTCAAATAGGAGACTTAGCGCAATGTTCGTAGATTGTCATTCTGATCACAGAAATGTCAAAATCTAAAAAAATGGACGTCATTTTTCTTCATTATATATATATATATATATATATATATATATATATATATATATATATATATATATATATATATATATATATATATATATATATATATATATATATATATATATATATATATATATATATATATATATATATATGTGTGTGTGTGTGTGTGTGTGTGTGTGTATATATCGCTTCCCGGCAAAAAAAGTGTCACATTACAGAATAGTTACGTTTTGACATCTTTGTACCATTAAAACGGTAAAATTTTTATACATCTGGCAATAAAATCGTCATTACTGTGCTGCGCTTGGTTACCGAGAGATGGCACAAAGTTCTCTTTTTACTAAGCCGTTTCGCTTACTTTACCAGCGTGAACAGTGTCACAAGTGTGTTGGTACAGAGTAGACGTGCGTCGTGTTGCCAAAAAAGTGTATTAACGTGTGATGTGACTTTACATTGGTGAGTTTTGAAACTTAACTATATGATTAGTACTATAAAAAGTGTCACAAAATGTGTTATGACAGTTTTATCGAAGAAAAATTGTTGCAAAGTGGATGATATTGTACAGAAAATAGTATTATATTGTGTAGATGCACTTTTGTAGGCTGCTTTTGGTCTTTATTCTGGTTTACAAGAATGTAATAAAGACGTAACACATAAAGTGACATTTTTTCAGTAAAACATTGCAATGAACAGTAGTTTTATGTTGTATTAATTCTTTCTTTCTGTATAAATTTATGTTTTTTTTTAAATGCACGTAGCATATTTTATTTTATGTCTGTTTTTCAAAAAAATATGATGACTTGTGGCTAATAGTTCACTTTTAATATATAATCAACCTTTACCAAAGCTAATTAAATTGTTCTTGTTTTTTAGGTTAAAATGAATAATAACAGTAGGGGTGCGTTTTTGTTAAAATTGGCGTGCAAAAAACACCAACAAGACATTTCTGATCAGACTACTGTTCAAAATACACTCATAGGAAGCGACGATTTAGTGAAAGGTACAGTAGGTACTTAATGGTTCCTTCAGTCACTTGAATTGATTTTATATGGTTATTAGGGTCAATAGTGGGATTTCAATAAAAATGAATTTCGTTTGATAACTAAATTCATTCGATTCGAGAGCCGTGGTAGCTCAGATGTTTAACGCTCGCTGTAAATATAACAGAACGCGAGTAACCCGGGTTCGATCCCCGCTGGCCACCAATGAAATTGTTAATTGCAATTTTAAATGATGATTTACCACGTGCTCGACTCGAAAACATCGTGAGGAAACCTGCATGTCAATAAGAAAAAAATATTTCTAAAGCATGTAAAGTTCGCCAACACGCGTTGGGGCAGCGTGGCAGACACTTCCTTGCCCTAAAACCCTCTCAAAAATGAGGGAAGGTCTGTGCCCAGCTGTGGGACGTATATAGGCTGTAACTTTACTTTACCTAAATTCATTATTCTTTAACTTCCACCTAGTTGCTTACTGATATTTCCAGGTGCGTCTGTTTATATTGTGTGTGTTTTTACAGATAAATTGTATTTGAAACAACAAAATACCCTATGTGAAGGACCAAGCACCGTAAATGTTAAACAATTTTCGTGTGAAGGTAAATTTGTACTGACCTAAACATTATATTTATCTTATTTTATATTCTAATCTAATAAATAAACGTTGTCTTTTGTTTGTTTTAGATAGTGGTCATGCATCAGATAAGGAAAACATTTATTTTGGAGACAGTGACGACAGCGTCAAAGACCCAAATTTTGAAATCACAACGTGTGCTAATAAAAGCAGCAGCTCAGACGATAGTTCTGGTCGTCCAGCTGCAAAAAAGCGCGTTAGACGAGTATCTGACTTATCGAGCACGTCACAGCAAAAAACTCAGCCTGTTTCAAATACTGAAATTCCTGGACCAACCTGTTGCATAATAGAAAACTATAATCCTACTCCCTCTTCATCTAAAGGTGTTTCCCAACACAGAATGTCTACATCTTCTAGTTCATCCTCCTCAACTTCCAGTAGCAGCACTAGCAGCAGCCGCAGCAGTACTAGCAGCAGCAGTAGCAGCAGCAGAGCTAGTTCTCGATCAAAGGCCGATACTCTAGCCACTCCTTCTTTACCAGGTCAGGAAGCTACTTTTTTGCCAGTTCACCAAGATTACAACATAATTGAAAATAATGTTCCTCAGGTAGATGAGAGTCCAGTACGTAAATCTTATAAAAAAACGTAAATCTCATGTTGATGAATGGTTGTCAAATAAGGCAAAAACACTGAGAAATACCGGTAAGCCTTATATTTCTCGTTCTAAATCAAAGAAAATTTTTTCTGCAAGGTGTTTACAACGTCCGTGTGGGGAAAAATGCAAGTTGCAATGTACTAAAAAAAGTAAATGAGGCCACCAGAACTAAAATATTTGAAAACTATTGGCGATTGGGAGACTTGTCTTTACAACGAAATTTTATTCATAAGCATATGAAACCCATCATTCCTGCATTTAGATTTTCTGCTAAAACTCAGCCTAGAAAAGTCAATCACAGTTTTCATTTTGAAGTTGATGGACAAATTATAAGAGTATGCAAAACTTTTTTCAGAGCTACGTTGGCTATTAATTATCGTGTCATTAGAACTGTGATTGACAAGTCCAAAGATGGTTTCTTGCAACAAGATATGAGAGGGAAGCACAATAACCATAAAAAAGTTGCGGAATCCATCCGACAGGGAATAAAAGATCATATTAACTCAATTCCTCGTATGGAATCTCACTACATACGAAAAAATTCTTCAAGGGAATATATTGATGGAGGAAAATCACTCGGTGATCTTTACAGAGATTATAAAGCTCTTTGCGAATCCAACAACACGTCTTATGGTAATGAAACTCTGTATTCAAGAATATTCAATTGTGAATTCAATATTAGTTTTTTTAAGCCAAAAAAAGATAGGTGCGAATTATGTGTGCGATATGAGAATGCCGAAGGTAACGAGAAGAAAAACTTAGAAGTTGAATATTTAAAACATATTGATGAGAAGAATGTATCCAGAAAAGAGAAAGACAATGATAAAAAAAACTCTAGTTCTGACACGATTGTTGCAGTTTACGATTTACAGGCTATTTTACAAGTACCGCGAGGAAACACATCTATTTTTTACTATCAATCCAAACTCTACACTTTTAACTTTACTGTATCACATATTGGTAATAATAACGACAAAACAGACTGTTTCTATTGGCATGAAGGAGAGGCTAATCGCGGTGCAGATGAAATAGGATCTTGCGTATTTAAATTTATTAAAAATACACTGCTGGGTTATGATGGACCAGGACTTGAACTTATATTCTACTCCGACAACTGCTGCGGTCAGAATAAAAATCGATTTATAATTGTAATTTATTTGTTTGCTCTTGTAAAATTTCCTAAAATTAAATCGATAACACACAAGTACCTAATAAGAGGTCATACGCAAAATGAAGCCGACTCAGTTCATTCTACGATTGAGAAACAAATCCAGAAAAGGCTAAAGTCTGGTCCAATTTACGTACCCAGTCAGTATGTGAAAGCTATCAAATGCGCTAAAAAAAAGGGAAATCCCTACGCTGTGACAGAAATGTCATCGAGTGATTTTTATTCATTAAAGCGTCTTTCTGAGGATATTGGATTTACGACTGCAAAGTCCTTCAAAATTTCAGAGCTGAGAATTTTTAAATTGTTGCAAGATGACCCTTCTATCTTGTTGTACAAAACATCATTTAAAGATGATCAGTTTTCTGAGATAATAATAACGCGAAAGAAAAATCTTAACCAGATTACACTCAAACATGCTTATAGATTTAAGCCAAAACTGAAAGAAAATAAACTAAAAGATCTCCAAAGTCTATTGCAATTTATATATAAATTAATCACATCCCACATTTTTACGAACCTTTTTATAAATCTCTTAAGTAAAAGCCATGTTTGTATACGATAAAGCTACCTATGTTATTTTGATATTTTTTAAAATTAATATTTAATCTAATAAGTTCATGTTCTAGTTATTACTACTTGATAATTATTTTTAAGTAACCGACCATACTAAAGATTCTTCTATACCTTAGACTGTCTGTATAAGGTTAAAGTTAATTTTTTTAAATATTTTTTTTTAAATTAATAAGTATTTTTTTCTATTTTTTCAAATAAAAGGTAATGAAGATAAAAATTGTATTATTTTCCAAAATAGGAATATATTTTCTAAAAAAAGAGTCATATTATGTGCCTAATTTCAGGGTTCTTGAAACTTACTTAAAAAAAAAAAACAACAATATTTAAAAAAAAGTGTAGGTCATTTGAATTGTAAATAAACTACCTATGTGAGCTATAAACTTTAGTTACTTAGCTTCCATAGTTTTGTCATAATCAATAAGAAAAGTATCAAAAAGTCATAAAAGTCTTGTTTTCTCGAAACAAACGTTTTTGTGTTACGACACTTTTTTTGCCGGGAAGCGATATATATACCACAATATGTAACGAAAACGCGGTTCCCGTTAAGTGCGTTATCAGAATCAGTATTAAAACGTATAGAAATAACTTTACTTCAGAAAACTCGACATAAAAATAATCAAATTAAATTTTAATTAAATAATATTTCTAAATTTTATGTGGATTGATTACCTCTGCCTGGAATTATTGACAGCGCAGCGGCAGGTGGCGGCCGGCGGTGACGTACATCAAAGACGGGGCGCGCGCGCGCGCGCGCGTCTTGCCTACACTAACTGCACACTGAGGTCGTGACTTCGTCATATCACAGCTGTAATAGTCAAATACTAATTTATCACTATGTCTACTTGACGACCACGAAGATGTTATTCAATATGTCCACCTTGTACCTCTGTACATTTGTGACACCGTCTTATAGTATCTGGACGCACGCGTTGCAACAGACATTTCGGACTTTATTTTTTCAAAGACTGCGACTATACTCGTACGTTTACGCATTTCTGCCTCGGTATCGCATGTTTTTTGGAATACTCTTCTCTACAATTATTCTCGCAAAAAACGTCCGTAGTTTTCACCGCTCTTTGTGTGGTCAAGGAAATACGGACCAATAATTTTGTCACCTATAATTCCCGCCCACACATTGATTTTCCGTCGGTGTTAAAAGTGGCTTGGTTTATACGAATGCGGATTTTTCGTTGACAATACGTGTTTATTACGAGCGTTAAATACACCTGTTCTTATAAAAGAGCATTCATCCGTAAAAAGTACGCGGTTCAAAAACTCAGGATCTCTTTCAACCTTATCAAGTAACCATCTACAGTAACCCATTCTCGGCTCGTAGTCGTTGGGAAGAAGACACTGAACTCGACGATAATGATACGGGTGCTAGCCATCATCTTTGAGGGCTCTACAAACGGCATATGTTTCACACCTAGTTCGCGTGCCATCGAGCACGTGCTCCGCGTCGCATCTTCCTCAAACACGTCGAGAATGTGCTCCTCGATGTCGTCGTTGTATATCCTCGGTCTTTCTGAAACTGTACGTTATTGATCACGGCTATGCACACTGCCAGTATTGTACATACGAATGTGAAGTCGTTGGAACGTCATCGCTGACGGCAATTGTATATTTCGTGGAGTAGCAAAGCACTCCCCGTAACGTCTTCGTGCTGCTGCATAATTGCAGTTACATTTCCCGAGACACATCAACATATTAAAATATCCCTCGTTTGAGTAAGACAACGCACACAAGTCACTCATGGCGGAATATTAATTTCGCAATATAAAACACAACCGTTAATATCAGTGCTAACGCGCTACTGGTGCTTGATGCTTGTTTGTTTGCATAGATGTGGCAAAGCTATTGTACTCTATAACATAATTTTGATATTTTCTAAATCGATAAAAAATTTCTTGATTTTTTAATGTAATTTTTTCTAATAATAGTTATTATTTATTTACTTCAGACAGCGTCCGTAAGTGTTATTAAGAAATTAAATTATAGCTAGGATTAATAAAAATACATTAAAACATTTTTATAACATGAAACATTTAAAAAATTGTGTTATAAATCCACACAATAACAAATACTTAAACTATTATACTGCTGTGTTTTTCAAAATCTAATAATTAGCATTTTTTTATCGACTGAGGATAAACAATACTTATATATATTTCTATTCTTGACCACTGAATTGTGACAAAATTTTATGTTTATAAAACTTCCCATATTTTTAATTATTACTACAAATATTATTAGCACTATGTATATTGTTCAATATGTTCACCTGTCACACATTTGCGACACCGGCTTATATGTTTTATCGACTGACGATTAACAACCCTTATTTTTATTTTTATTCTTGATCACTGAATTGTGACAAAATTTTATGTTCATAAAACTTCCCATGTTTTTAAATATTACTACTAAATATTAGCACAAAATAAGTAATAGATATTGGATCAAAATTAGTTAATCGGCATAAAGTGGACGCTACTTTTAATCACTCGAAGAGTGGAGTTTTTTTGGGTTTTTCCTACTACCTAAGTCCTTCGTTGGCTTTCGCTTTTGAGTTCAAAGAGCGCGCAAAACGCCGCGACTATTAATTTTATTAAAAATTTATTTAAAAAAATAATTACTACCTACTACATATTCTTTACGAAAAATATTTCATATGAAATTTACTTACTAAATTTCTCCTACAAATAGTTGCAAATTTGGAATTAATCACGGTATTTTATCCATGAAATAACCTTTTCAAATATTTTCGTAGATCTATTTAGCAACAAAGTGGAAATTTATAACATAAGTATTCAAATACTATGTGTATTGGGGTTGAAATAATATCCATTTCATTATAATTTCTATTATTTTGAAATTAAAATTTTCGGAGAATGACTGAGTCTACCTAGGTATAAAGATTTACACAAAAACCTTGGGGAAGCACGCGCCGCTTAGCGGCTTGCTTTGAGTCGGCCATGTCAGTGGCCTCA